ATTTCTCAATCACACAACAACATTAGTAGAACTTACCAATCCGTGTTTGCTGTACTGGTGTCTCTTCTGCTTCACAATTCTGTATTCTTGCCAAGTACCTATCAGATAAATACCTAAATACATCATTCACATTTAAGTCTTCTTTGACCGACGTTCTGTAAAACCTAAGTTTTAATTTCTTGGCTAATGCATCTGCTTCTTCACTGAAAGATACAAAGTATGAATGAAGTTGTAGATTACATCCGGATGTCAATGATATCTTTGTGCTTGAGTTTTCAAGGTATAGAAATACAGCAAGATATCTTTTCATGTCGATGGTATGTACCTGAACACAGATTAATTTTATCAGGTTTGTTTGATGTTTTTTTTTAATTTTCATATTATTTCTTCCAGTTTTACTTGTTGGAATAATTGTGCCAATTGAGACTACCATGAATGGGATGTGAACGTGTAAACTATTCTTCGACATGACCTGTTGGCAAGCGTGAAAGATGTTTACCCTGTGAAAAAATGCGAATCACCTGTCTTTAGGGGGAAAAGAAATCATGTCTATCAGGTCGCATTTTAACATCCGCGTTGTGTCAGTATGACAAAGCATTTTGAATGGTTAATGAAATACTTGACCTGTTGAGTTAATGGATGTTGTTTCAGGTAAAATCATGCGGAAAACATCGGGGCGAGAATTGCTTTGCAACAAGAGTCTTTGTACAATGGAAAATATCCCACATTGAAGATAATGATAACAATCTTGCCTTCAACTTTTTTCCTACAATCCCTACCCATTTTTACACCATAAATTCAGACGGTATGTAAAAAACATCTTTGCTGAGATGATCCTCGAGTATAAGCCCCCCACCCCTCATCATAAATATTGAGACCCCTGAGCTTAAGATTGGGAAGTACGGTACACTTACTGGTCTATAAGGGCATTATCATAAATATTGAGACCCCTGAGCTTAAGATTGGGAAGTACGGTACACTTACTGGTCTATAAGGGCATTATCATAAATATTGAGACCCCTGAGCTTAAGATTGGGAAGTACGGTACACTTACTGGTCTATAAGGGCATTATCATAAATATTGAGACCCCTGAGCTTAAGATTGGGAAGTACGGTACACTTACTGGTCTATAAGGGCATTATCTACCAAGTCTATTTTATTCTGTACTAAAACCATAGGAATATTTCCAACTTCGTCTTCCACTTTCTTCTTCCAACTCTCTACAGCATCAAAAGAGGCACGATCTACTGTTGAAAAGGCTAAAACACAGGCTTGAGCACCTTTAAGGAAAAAAGATAGATAAGAGAGAAAGGGGGTAAGAATATATTTGACATGTACATGTAGCTGACATGGACTGACCTGTGTCTATGTCAGTATAGCTGGTTATACATCCTTATGTCCATTATGTATTAATGTCAGAAAATAATGGCTTGGGCTTGGACATGCATTTAGTTCACTGTCATCTAAGAATGGAGACTCACCTCTGTAATACGACTTTGTGATGGCATCAAATTCTTCTTGTCCGGCGGTATCCCACAACATTAACCTCACTTCTTCTCCACTAATTCTAAACAAAGAAATAGTTCATTAAATTTATAAATAAAATATCACCCACTGTAGTTTGTGCAAAACTTTGGATTAAAACATCACAAAGAAATGTTCTTTTTAGCACAATCTAAAAAGGTCAAACTGTTTTGAACTGAATTTGTCTGTGTACAAGAACACAGCATACACCATTATTATTTTTTGGGACATCCTTAACCATGAGTGAAAGAAGAATTTATGAATCAGGGATTATTTTCCTGACTATTTTCTACATTTTACAACAAACCATTAATGCTGGATTTTAGATGTCAATGTGGCACCCTAGGACCCCAGTAAATGCCAATGTGGCTGCCTAGAACCCCATTAACTGTCAATGTGGTTCTCTAAGACCCCAGTAAATATCAATGTCTTAAAGACTTACAAAGACATGTTCAAAAATTTGTGATTTCCCTTGTGATTTATCCTAAGATATATGTATATATCATGTACCACCCCATTCATCTATAAAACATACTTACTCAATTTGTCTTTCTAAGAAATCAACACCAATGGTTTTCTTGTAATCTTTGGTAAATATTCCTTTACAATATCTTTGAATCATGCTGGATTTACCCACTGCACCATTCCCAACTACAACCACTTTTATCGCTACTTCTATCTCTTCTTCTCTCATATTTTTACAATTCTATAAAAGTCTATTTTGGTTTCAATCTTAGAAGACACTTGCAAGTGGTTGGTGTCTTCTTGCATAAGATCCTTCAAGCTATTTCTAACTGTCTCTACAACCTGCAAGAACAAAAAATAAAATGAAATTAGATATATAATGCAGATTACAATGTATACCATTTCATGGATTTCATTTTTTTCTAAAAGTTTGGTGGTTTGATTGGTCTTGTGTGGTGTTATTAGATGTACATGACTGGGTCAGTGCACACCATTGATACACATGTACAAGCGACCTGACATAGTTGAAATAGCTCCACTGTCCTACAAGAAAATTGTGGTAGCCATGTAGAGAAACACAACCCCACAAAAAAGGTTTGGTTTTGGCTGTTAAGAAGATGTTAACTTAACTTCATCAAACAAATTGTTCACAAAAATAGTTGGCAAGAAGAATTCGAAAATATAATATTTTACCCAAAATTACAAATATATTTGCCAAAAATTGAGATACCATCACAAAATGAACAAATCTAACAGAGGTTTATCGACATAACAAGTATTAAAGCAATTGAGCTGGTAGTTTTCAAGAAGTTGAGTCAATCACCTATGTGAACAGTTCCGCTCTGTCATCTACAGTGTATGATGAAAGCAGAGCTAACAAGTAAAACCATTTGACATAAATCAGTCAAACATTGTGAAGAGAGGACATGCCTAGATTCTTTAACATTCACTGAAAACAAGAACAGTAGCGAAAGACGGTGATTCACAAAAGACACAAATAAACAAACATTGTACGAAACACGTTACACATACATGTAATATCTTTTTCATTTGTTTTGTAAAAAAAACAAGCCCTTTCCCCCTCCAATAAATGGAATGACCAGATTATACCATTTACTTAGCAATCAATAGAAATTCTTATAATTTCCTGACTGATGGTTTGAATATTTAATGCTACTCTGAGGTTTTACATGAATTCCTTTTGTGTATAGAATAGCACAGACATGACGTGATGAATGCCGGGCTTTATCACAAATGGTTGTGTTAAACAAATGCAATAAAGATGGTCAGAGCTGAAACAGCATTATGAATTAATCAAATGAAACAAGTAGTCCAATCAATATATACATGTAGCAGACGTCAATTTAATTATATAGTCAATGTCATTAATAGATAAGCACTCTTATTAAGCCTTATTAAAATTAAATATCATTTCAGATAAAGGGCTTAAAATTGGCAAATAATTAGAAATATCCCAGACGCTAGTTATCATCCTGGACAAAATGTCCTCAGTGCAACATGCAACCGAACATGTAGATTTGGCTCTGATCGAATTTTCAGCAGCTTAGGGGTGTCATTATCGAACACCCTACATTTAATCATTCTATCCTGGAAAACCAACAATTCGACTATGTTATAATTCCAAAGAATCATTGCATTAAAACATCTTATACATGTACATCCGGGGAAATAAAATGTGATTCTATAAATCAAATTCATTGGAAACATGTGTTCAAGACTGGAAGTACGGTAACTGCAGAGAAAAAAGTACCAAGAAGAGACAGTCAGTTGTGTTGAGTGAAAGCATACAAGCTGGTGACTCAATATGATTCTTTAATTAAATACATAGCAAAATCTGGATATGTCATTTGCATTCAGTCTGCATTCAGTGTTATAAATGAATAAATGGCATCTTTTAGTGCCTTAGCTATCAGTTTACAAATGCAGATTCTTATCAGTACTACATGTATTGGTACAATACGTGGGTGGGGATTAAATTAAATGTACATGTACAAGGGGTATCAAACTCTACAGTAAATGCCAGGAACAGACTTAAAATTCATTGACTTATTCTTAAACTAAGTTTACACGCACAAAAGGAACTGTTCCATTTTTTGATCAAGAAAACTCTAGTGCCCACAGACAGTTTAAAATTATAGTCATTCAAGTGAAATCTGACAATTGTGTGTGGTACTACTGATACATGTACGACATGCAACTTTGATGTACATGTAGAGCGAACATACTATGTATTCCATGGATATGTAGACTGAACATACTGTGTGTTCCATGGATATATAGACTGAACATACTGTGTGTTCCATGGATATGTAGACTGAACATACTGTGTGTTCCATGGATATGTAGACTGAACATACTGTGTGTTCCATGGATATGTAGACTGAACATACCGTGTGTTCCATGGATACATGTATGTAGATT